AAAAAGTTCATCATTTTACGATGATTTTTCGCGGAGTTACCATTAATCAAAATTGACCAATTTTTGCTCAAAATTTTTCTATGCCATAATTTTTTTGAGCAGTGTAATTTTTAGAAAAAAATTAATTCATTATCAGATTATTCTTGTCTTACATTTTTTCTTAAAACACCTTCCGAATCTGTAGTAGTCCTCTGTACTACAAGTACAAATTTTGTCTTCTGCTGTCGTCGATTCTGTCGTCGATTTTATCGACGATTCTGTCGACGATTCTGTCGACGATTCCGTTGTGACCGCGGTGTCATTTCTGTTCTCAGACGCACAAATTGCGTCCGTTGCAGTGGCAGAACATTGAATATCCAGTAAACACGGCTCGCCGAACAGTGATACTATAATAGAAACATATTAAAATACATTCGAACATTAAAGAGTTCTTACTATTGATAATACATGAAAGTTTTAGCAATATTTTCTTTATAAAAACGAATTGATATAATTGCTTACCTGGTATACATGAATCAATAGACGCAGCCACATAATTCGGCTCGCAATAACATTTCTTCGAAATACACACGGAATTATTCGGTGAGCAACCTTCGTTACCCGTGCAATCAGCATTGATACCTAAAATTCGATTACTGATCATGAAAACGTTATTTGGCTACTTTTAATATACTTTTAAACTTTTTGTGATTAAATTTTAGTTACGGTTTATATCAATTATTTATTATGTATTGTATTATTCCATGAAATCTGAATCTGTTTGTTCAGAAGTGTCAATATAAAATGTCAATATAAACTGTTTTTATTCAAGAAAAATTAATATTTTTATAATAATTTATAAAGTATTACCTGGCAAACAAAGCTCATGTGATTCATAATAGTTCTTGGCACATGTGCACACTTGTTTCTTACAAACGGAAGACGGGACATAACAATCACTGTCTATTTCGCAAGCTTCTCCAAGTTCTAAAATTTAGTGCAAAGATTTTGTCAAACGCCACGTAATGAACTTTGGAAAAATAACAAGATAACCGTTTACCTGCTGATCCTACACAACTCATTTCATCCTTGCTTAAGCGTGTGCCATCGGGACAGCCGCATGTAGCGTGACATGTTAAATTGCCTTTGAAATCTTTCACGTAACAATCTCGGTCTTGATTACAAGTTTCGTTGATTCCCGTGTTTCCCCAGCAAAACAGTTCACTCTCCACGTAATGAGAAACATTTTCGTTGCATACACATGTATTATTACTACATATAGCGTCTGGAC